GCAGTAAAATAATACCCTCCAGTCACTCTGTTGACTAGATATCATATCAGAAATATGATAAATACAGATTTGGAGACTGAGCTAGTCTCTGAGCACCCATGCTTGATCTGAGCTCCATTTTCAATTTGACCTCTCTGAGCCTATATCTCCTCCAAAGCTCAGCCTAGGCACCAATTCCTTCCTAATGCCTTCTCTGACTTCCTCTCTCAGTCGCTCTTTCTCCTGCTTTCTTTTGAATTATCTATGCCCATCCCCATGTCTACTCCCACTGGAATGTCAACTCTGTGAGCACAGAGCCTATTTAATTTTTTTCTTTTCACCCAAAGTGCCTAACATAGTGGAGAGCTTCATAACACATAGTGGGTACTTAGATAGCCTATTAAGCACATAGTAGGTGTTTCATGGATGCTATGGATGAATTAAATTAGATTATTAAACCTACAAAAAAATGCTGTCCTCTACTCTTGTAATCTATAAGCTTTTTTGTGAATGCCTAGTTATCTTCATGGGGATCACCCATTTTATAAGATATGTATGGCAAAATTATAATCACTTTTAAAATCACTTTCTAGCTTCCTCTTTCCATCCAGCACTCTTAGGTTGCTTTTCCCCATCTCTGCTACCTTCCATGACTATAGGGTGCTAGTCTAGACCACATTTTAAATAGCAAATATGTTAATTTTTCAAACTAATATTAATTGAACATAACTAGGAGGCTATGGGCAGCTAAGTGGTACAGTGGATGGAGTGCCAGGCCTGGAGTCAGGAAGACTCATCTTCTTGAGTTCAAATTCAGCCTTAGACACTTACCAGCTATGTGACCCTGGGCAAGTCACTTAACCCTGTTAACTTCAGTTTCCTCATCTGTAAAATGAAATGGAGAAGGAAGTAGCAAACTGCTTCAGTATCTTGCCAGAGAAATACCAAATGGGGTCATAAAGAGTCAGACATGACTGAAAAAATGATTGGACAACAATAAAAGGAAGCTATACTTTTTGGGCCCAGAATTGCATAATCTACAGGTAGACCATTTGCTCTATAATCCTGACTTAGAGGTTTTAGCACAATCTCCACTTGTAACACCTTCAGCACTTTCATTGTAAGGGTGCCATATGGTCTCAAGAGCTCCCTCTGAGAGCCTGGCCATCACCCCAAGGCAGGCAATTAAGTTCCAGTTAAGATATGGATTACTGTAAGTAAAGTCATATTCTCGCCTTAGATCTTATCTGGAGGATCATCATATTCATTTCCAGGTGCCATATTTTAGGATAGGTACAGATATTCCAGAAGACATCCAGAGTATGGAAACCAGCATGCTCTATAAAGATTGGCTGAATGAATTGGGAATGTATAGCCTGGAGACAAGAAGACAAGCTTCATGAGGACAGCCAGTATTTGAAGGGTTGTCTTCCTAAAGAGGGACTGGTCTTGTTCTGCTTGGCCCCAGAAGGCAGAAGTAGGAGCAATGGGTGGAGGTTGATTAGATGAGCATTCTGTTTCCAGTAAGGAAAACAATTCCTAGAAATTAGAACTATCCCAAAGCTCAGTTGATGATTCAACTGAAGCTGGATGACCACTTGCCATTGTAACAAAGAGGATTCTTCCACAGGTATGGGTTGGGGGCTAAGCAGCCTCTGAAGTTCCTTCCATTGCTGAAATTCTTTACTTCTGTAATTTTGTGATGGTCACGAGAATGATAGGTGTCATGGGATAGGTGGTTAGTGTTAGGGATGCTTATGAAGGACTGGAGTTGGGATGGCTCCCTGGCACCTGGGGAAGTCAAAATCAGAAGGTCAAGGTTGAAGACAAGTGCAGGTCAGCCACTGAGTCAGAGAGAGCTTCAGGCAGAGGCATTGTAGCAATGGGTATGACACCCTGGGAAAGAAGTTGCTCTGTTATTGAAAAAAATATCTAAAACCCTACTTAGGCCTTTTTCTCCCCTCAAGTCTTCAGGCTTACCCAATTGGCTCCATCCACTAAGTAGAATTCTGCTTTTGTTAGGGGCTTCGCCATTAACATTCTTATTCCCCTCAAGAGCTTTTAGTCTCTCTCTCTTAGATGGGAAGCCTACATCTTCTGACCTTACTGTCTCTGTGTTCTCAAGAGATACAGCAGATTAGCTGAAGAAGGCCTAACCCTCCTTGCTATTAGCCAGTTTATATACTCCATGGGCCTTGTTTTTCCTTGGCGAAGACATGGACATGTGACAATTCTAAACCCTAGGTTATTAAAAGTTTCACTATGAGTAGTACCACAGATCTCCCTGGCAACCCTCCCACCAAGTGATTGTAGTGGCAGGGCCTTTAGCAGGTACAACAGGGCAGCCTGGGCACTTGAGAATTTTGAGTGAATTAGATTCTATGGCAATCTAAACCACTGACAGAAAATCTAGAAGGGACCTTATACAGCAAAATTCAACCCCCTCCATCTTAGATGAGAAACCAAAGCCCAAAACAGTTGAGTGATTGCCCAAGTCAAACAACTAATAAGGGTCTGAGGCAGGATTCAAACCCAAAGGTTCATTACTCCAAGTCCGGAATTCTTCCCACCATATCATGATGTCCCATATCCTCAGTTTACAAAGGAAAACATGGTTATTTGTGTATGGATTTATGGTCTTTCAAATTATAGATACATTGATATATATGATCTGCAAATACTAGAAGGATCTGTGATTTTGTTGTTTGTGGGAACTTCTGGTGTGAGAATGCCTTCTACCAATGAAGTTCTAAATGAGCCTATGATATGGAAGATAACTCCTAGGGAATTGTCTGAGGCATACAGAGATTAAATGACTTGCCAAGAGGTTCTCACAGACACATACATACCAAGAACTGATAAATGAGTAAGAGGTATTGTTGTTGTTGTTGTTTTTATTCTAACCATCACTACAGAGAACTCCCAAAACAAAACTCCTCTAAAGCAGATCAATAATTATTCAGCACCTTATAGTCTTAGAGAATTACCTGAACCACTGAGATGTCGAGGGACTCACCTGTGACCACAGTCATTATATGTGAGAGACAGGCATGGAAACTGATGTGGCCAGCTATCTATCTGCTATGCCAGGCAGTCTCTAACTGAATGAATAATGTAAAAACTGATTATCTGAATCAAGAAACACACTCAGAAGAGGAAGTTTTACCATAAAAGATAATAATAGAGGGAGGGAAGAAGGAAGGAAGAAAGGTTGGATGGATTTGTTACATACTTCCTAGGTGCCGGCCATGGTACTAAGTACTTTACAAATACAATTTCCTTTGATCTTCATAGTAACTCTGGGGAGGTAGATGCTTATTTTTATCCCCATTTTAAAGTGAGGAAATTCAGGCAGTCAAAGGTTAAGTTACTTACCCAGGGTCACACAGCCAGTAAATGTCTGAGGCCAGATTTGAACTCAGGTCTTCCTGACTCCCAGGCCATACCTTTTTACAGGTATGGAGCATTACATACAATAACAGATTTTTTTCAATGTATTTCAATTAGTCAATCAGTCAATAAGCGTTTATTAAGCACTCACTATGTATCAGGTGCTGTGCTAAGCACTGGAAACACAAAGAAAGGCAAAAACAGTCCCCTGCTTTCAAGGAGCTCACAATCCAAGAGAGAACATATAAATAACTATGTGCATCTAATCCTCCCCCTCTTCCCAATTCCAGCTCCAGGGTTCTCTCTCCTGTTCTACCTAATTGTTACCAATGTCACATGCTCAAAACCAAACTTCTATTAGAGACCACAAGGCACTTTCCTGTATGACCCTCTTCTCTGGACATTACAAGGAGGGGAGGAGAGGATCACATTTTATTTTGTTTTGTTTTGTTTTTCTATCATATAGTATTTTACTTTTGCCCAATTATCTATAAAAAACAATTTGCTAAAATTCATTTTAAAAGTTTTGAGTTCTAAATTTCCTCTCTCCCTCCCTGCCCCCAGGAACCTCCCCTTTTAAGCAGTAGTTATACATCTCCCCTCACTCCCACTCCAACTCCTTTAAAGTCCCCACCCCCACAAAGCTTACAGTGGTCCACTTGGTCTTAAGCTCAGGCTTACAGCGAATGTTACTGATTTTTTGATGCTGGAATGAAAGATGCAGTCAGAATATATGCAAGCCTGTGACATATAGCCACACTTGATCCACCATGATCATTCTCAGACATGCCATAAAACATATGAGGTCTATCCAGAAGCTGGTCAGCTTTGTCAGGGGTGTAGGCTAGCTCAAATTGTTCTTGAACATTGGAGTTTAGGCTGTTTTATATTTCGGTGGACAAAGAGACTTAGTGCTTTTCACAAATGCACTCATCTGTAATAAGGTGTGTCCTTCCCCTACCCCCACATTTACCTGGCCTTGACCCCACCCCCCTCAAGTATCTTTGAATATATCTGCTAGGAGTAACCTGGATTAGGATTCAAACATAGGTTGGTATTCACTGGTTATACATACAGATACATTCTTAATTCTGGCTGATTCTATGCATATATCTTGTTTCCACCAACACTACCTCCCTATTCTAACAGGATGATCTCATCCATGACTGTTATATTGAAGACTGCAATGAAAATGTAAGAATTTGTAAGAGACTTAAGAATTTAAATTTAAGCTAAATGTAAAATGTAAGAATTCCTACACCTCTGTCCCAGGAAGGGGTTTTAATGAACCATTGCTCATAAACTCTGACATCTGTGTTATGAATTCCAACCCTTTAGCCCTAACCTAGATTGGGACAAACTCATCTAGCATGTCTCTCCTGACTGACACTGATGCTTATTTGCCAGCACATCTCATCTTAAGATAGTAATGGGATACCTTCGAGGCAGGTAGCTGACATGGCATCAGTCTGACTTGCAATCTTCACAATAATTTACAATGCATGTGGTGGGGTCAAGGAGGTGGGTGGTGTGGGGAAGAAAATCAGAGGCAATAGCTAGTGCAGTGATGCTGGGAACACATTCTGAAGGCATTAACCTCTGATTTCTGTGCTTTTGTTCCCTTATTACAGGAATTGACTATCTCCATCCTGATCTCGCTGCAAATTATGTAAGTACAAGCTACCCTTTGCTGGGAAATGTGGGGGTTCTTTAGTGGTCTTGCCTCTTCAACCTTGGGAGCATGCAGACATTAGAGCCACCAATCTTGTAGCTGCTGAGACCTTCCTCTGAAGGCAAATGGACTGAAATAGGACTTGGCACTATATCAACTTTGAGCTGTTTATGAGAGACAAGGACAGGGATAAAAGTCTGCAAACAAAGGGGACAGGGGAAGCATGAGAGTCTATAATTTTGCCTTTTCTGTAAAATGGGAAATCTTACAGAGAGGCCATAAGGAATAAAGGATAGAGAATTATCCTCAGGGTTAAGAAGACCAGGATTCAAGATTAACCTCTGTTAAATACTAGCTATACGTCCTTGAACAAGTCACTTGGTTTTTTTAGTAGTCCAGACAACCTGCTAAGATTATAAATTTTAGAATCGTTGTCAACCTATGTTGGTAGGGAGGTTACTCACCAGGATTTCCCTACAGTGATAAAGATACATGATTCTAGACTAAAAATAAAAACAAAACTCACCAACCAACCACCTTACAAGGATACTTTGAGGAGCTAATGAAATAATGCGCTAAAAGTTCTAACTGTACAACACCAGAAGCTAGAATTCTTGCCCAACTTGCTCTGCTGAATCAGAACATAGAGGGAAGTTCTTTTTTCTATTTATAACATAGTCATTTCCCAAACCACATTACCCATGCATACTACTGAGCCCTCTTGTAATGAACAAAAACAATTAAGCAAAAGCTGACCAATTGAGACAACCTCACCTCATATCATATGCAATATTTTGTACCTATGGTCCTTCTAACATGAAGAGGAAAGTATCATTTCATAATTTATTCTCCAGGACTGACGTTGTTTAGTTCAATTTAATTTCAAAATAATTAATTTGATTTAATTAACTTCAAAATAATCTGCATTTGGTTGCCTCTTGGTGTTGTTTTTATTTAAGTCATTGTACACATAGTTCTGAGAGTTTATTTCTGTATCAGTTCATCATGTCCTCTCATGTTTTTAAAAAACCTTATACTCCTTGTTTCTTATTGTGTATTAATATTCCATTTCATTCATATGCCATACTGCATTTCCCCATTTCCCAATCAATGGGCATCCACTTTGTTTCTAGTTTTTTGCTTCTGTAAAAAGTTGGAGTAGAGTTCTAAACTGACTCTCTGTCATAAAGGTCTCTACCCTCTTTGTTTTACCTGTTTACAAATATTATACATAAGAATAATTTAGTTAAATTTATATGAATACTCTTAGGCCCTTTATTCTGTACAACTCATTTAGACTTTAAACTTTTTGAGGACAGGAGCTGCATCTTTTTCATGTTCTGTAAAACTTTCCTCATCCCCAACATTCCAAGTACTTTGAAGGACTGAGTGATGTACCTTTGATTTTTTTTACACAGAATAAATTCTGAACAAGAAAGCAATACTGATAAAGGTTGCTGCTGGGGCCATGGCCCACACTGTTATTTGAACCCAATGATTCATACCATGTTTTGAGGGATGCATAGGTATGATCAAAATCTCTCAAATATCATTAAATACCATTTAAGGATGTTTGAGTAAATAATAGTTCCTTGTCTCCCACCCCACCCCCAAAATTATTTGTTCTAAACTTAGTGACTGTCACCAAAAATTAACATTCAAACACAAAAGGAAAAAATGTTGAATGATCACACATAAAACTGTAAGCTTATATATTTATATATAGTGCATATTAGCACCATATAACAGTGAATATTATCTCAGAGACAGGAAGAGCTGGGTTCAAATCCTTGCTCTGACACATACTATCTCTGTAACCCTGGGCAAGTCATTTAACTTTTAAATGCTCTGGGAAACTGTTTAAGACTCTAAGTTACAAAGGAGATTCGATACTGCCTTGACACAAGAAATTTCCTCATCTGGGAGTTCCCTACATCAATAAAATCATAGTTCTAGTTTCTATCCCTATATTAACGTTAGAGACATTATGGCATAGTAGAAGGTTGGGTTTATAATCATTATAACTTGAATTCAAATTTTGTCTTAGACACTTATGTATGTATTATCTTGGGCAAGTCACTTAATCTCTATGTGCCTAGATAACTCTCTAGGTTTTAAATCTACCAGGTCAGAGTTGGGTAAAAATCTATTTGGGGAAGTAATTTCTACACCGCCATAATTGCAGACCCTTTGGATAGTCAAGCCTTGCATCACACAATGCTTGACACCAAGCATGTGCTTCATAAATGCTTTATCCAGCTAATATAAACATTAATAGAATATTAAGAAAGCATTCTGAGTATTTTCATTTCTCCCTCTGAATTTTTTTCCTTCTGCGTATTTTTTTTCCAAATTTTATTTTCAGCATTATTGTTCTTATACTTTTTTGCCCTAATTCTGCTTTCTTTGCTCTGTATCACTTCATATAAGTCTTCCCATATTTCTTCATATTGTTTATATTTATAATTTGGTATGGCATAATGTTACATTTACATATCACAATTTATTGAGCCATTCCCTATTCACTGGGCACTCAGGTCATTTGTATTTTTGTTTTTGTTTTGTTTGCTATTACAAATAATTTTACTGTAGATAATTTGGTTTTGTTCAGTTGTGGGATTTTTTTACCTATCAGTAATATCCTTATAGTGGGATTGCTAGGTCAGAGAATTTGAACAGCTTTATAGCTCTTGTTTTCAATAGCCCAAAAGGTGGCACCAATTCACAGCTTCACCAACAATGTCCCAGTGTCAGGCTGCTTTTTACTACCCTAAGGAGAATCATTTTTTATGCTTTGACACATTCACTTAAAAAAATAAACCCTCAAAATTTCAATGGAAGATTGCTAAATTAAACCTCTTCTATCTCCAAATTTAATAACATAGTATTATTATTTTAAACTGAAGAGAATAATCTCTAAGAGATGAAAAGACAGAGAGAAAGGGAGAGGGAGAGGAACATCTAATTTACAGTAGTTCTATTTCATCAATACTCTAAATCATCTATTCTTACCCATGTTGCACAGAGAAAATAGAATTTTTCTAGCTGCTTAACCTCCTGTGACCAGATGATGAAATACTGAGAGAAGTAATTGACATTACAGAATGCATTTCCATTTGCTGGTTTGCATTCATACAACTAAGGGAGTAGGACATATATATATATATATATATTTATCTATCTATGTATATAAATATGTGTGTATATATGTACATTTTTAATGGGGAGATTATTTTAAGCTAAGTGAACCACTGTCTGAGATACACAGGTTCCACTATGTATCTAAAAAGAAATGACAAAAATGAACCCTGACAATTATATTACTGTCTTTGAAGTATGAGAATTCACTTAAATATCTTAAATAAGGAGATATTGAACTTTCCAAAAAGTTAGCAGTTTGGTGACAGCATTCACATTAATAGATGCTTTAAAAAAAATCCTCTTTTCTCCTCTCTCCATCCCAACCAGCATCACCCCATAGTAAAACCTTACTGTTTGATTTAGTTTTCTCAGGAGTTAATAATTTCACACACTCTTTAAATTTAGCAGCACGTGAAGAGGATGGAAGATGGAAACCAGATTCAGTCATGACCTCTTTTCAGTGCCTTGTGATTTCCCTTTCTTTGTATTCTCAAAACTTAGATGATTCTAGGGATTTTGCTAAAGATGAGATTAAGGCACTTAAGTCTTAACACTTTCGCTAAAGCACTAATATCCAGAGCTCTCCCCTTACTAAATTAAAATGCCAAGGATAAACCAATTCCAACATCCGTTTGAGTGTTCTGGAAATTTCTCATAACATGGATAAAATCCATTTCTTTTCTTTTCCTCACCTTCTAAGGTCCTTCTATGGAGGTTTGGTTCAAATTGTGGTTTGGTTCACAGATTCACAGAGCCAGATGTATAAAGGGCCTTAGAAATCTTCCTTATAACTCTTCTTATAAGTCTAGACCTTCATTTTCCACACCAGTAAACTGATGACCAGAGAAGTTAAGTGATTTGCCCAAGGTCACACAAGCAGTAAGGCTTGAGCCAGACTTTGAACTCAGATCCTATGTTTATAAATTCATTGTTCTTTCCACTGCACCCCATTAAATTATCCAATAAACTGAGGTTCTGCTAAACAGAAACATATTTGTAACATATATAGGCACCTAGGTGGTGCAGTAGATAGAGCACCAGGCCTGAAGTCAGGAAGACTTGAGTTCAAATCCAGTCTCAGACACTGCCTAGCTGTGTGACCTTGAGCAAGTCACTTAACCTTTGTTTGACTTAATTTCCTCATCTGTAAAATGAAGATAATAATAGCACCTACCTCCAAGGGTTGTTGCAAGGATCAAATGAGATAATAATTATAAAGTATTTAACACAATTCCTGGCACATAATAAGTGCTATGTAAATGTTAGCTATTATTATTATTATCACTATGATTATTGTCTTTGCTTCCTATTGAAAGCTAACGCTACATAGAACTGATTTTGTGATTCTTCTATGCAGAAAAAGAGAAAAAATCCAAGCCTAGTCATGGAAAACTTGACAGGCTGTACTCATTTTAACTAGCCTGCAATCTTACATGGAGAAGACTTGGATAATCCTTCAAGGATCCCTGATTTCATTAATAGGAGTCCTCTCTCCATCAATGCAGAACTCAACCCTCTGCATCTCAGCAGACAATCTTCACAGTTTGCTGTGGGTGAAAAAATAAATTATTCTCTGGACAATCTTCAGAATGCAAACTTCCCCAGATGTAGCCAGGCATATTCCCAGATGACATAAACTAGGCTCGTTCTCAAGTTTTTTTCTAACTGGATTAAAAACCAACCAGTGCTTCTACCTCTATTCATGCACTCAGGGCCATTTCTACATTGTAATTAGAGGAGTGGAATTGTGATAATCAAATAAGTTAAACCCTGTAGGCTATCTGCCTGTCCTAAAGTGGCACAGTGGATAGAATGCTGGTGTTGGAGTTGGAAAGGTCTGAGTTCAAAACATGACT